TTTTTTTATAAATGATTTTTTTTTACTCTTTTTATTTGAAACCTTTTGTGATCTTTTGTTTCTTTCCTTTTTCAAGTAGGTTTTTCTTAAAATTTACCCCTCAGTATGAAGGGTGATACTTGGTTGAGGTTCGTTTAAAAAAAAATCATAATAGGCTTAAAAGAAGTAGCAATAGATAGTTTTATGAATGATAAAAGAAAGAATGATAATTTTTTTATCTCAAATATGAATTTTTTTTAAAAAAATCATATATTGAACAAAAATAAACTCATGGATCATTATAAATGATCGCATATCTTCAAAATATATCTATTTTATATCTGTTAGTAGCTTACTTTTTTTGCTTGAATAGTCTTCATAAATTAATATGAATGAGTTTTTAAAATTAAATCCCAAAATTATTGTTATTATTGTTTAAACATTCATCATTTGGAATTTAAGAATGAGAATAAAAAGACATGAAAAAAAAACATGAAATAGTGGCTGGGATGAAAGAGAAAATGTAATGAAATACATCATACTTATTTTTTTATTAAAATAATAAAAATAAAATCTTATTACATAACAAAATTCTAACATTACTTTAAGAGAAATTCTAAAATGACACGTAACTTTTAACCAGCCTTAACATCCTTGTCATTCTCAAAATTATACCATTGTGTGATCAAAAGAAGGGTTTTTATTGACATCCAACCTCCCTAATTTGTTGAAGCTCACCGAGCCTTTTTCAATCAAAATTTGCATTTTGTGTTTGAAAGCAGGGCAAGTTTCAATAGAATGACCCATGTTCTCATTATGGTAATGATATATGATATTAGCATCATATCATTTGGGATAGAGTGACTTCAGTAATTCTAGAATAACTAAAGATACTAAGTCGTTCTTAACTAGTTCTGAAAATATTTCAGTGTAAGTCATAGAGATAAGATCAATATGGGTTTTTCTTAGTTATTATGAGATTTTCTTAAACCACTTGCTTAGTTGTTAGGCCTAGACCATATGCAAACTTTTAAAAGGCTGGTTGAAATATTGATGGGTAAGCTGGTTATGGATATTGTTGGTAAAGGGCTTATACAATACTATTAACTATGGAATAGTAAATAGATGAATAGGTGATGGATATAGAGCATAGCTTTTGAATTGTTGCGCATTGAAATTCATAGCTTGGGCTTCAATTTCTTTCTTTTTAGGCAATCTTCATTTCTTGATGGTTTTTTCTTGCTGAAGCTTGTCACTTTTGATAGCATTTTTAATAATTTCCCTTAAGATCACCATATCAGCGAAGTTTTTCATTGCACTCCCTATCATCTTTTTGTAGTAAAAAGATTTTAAAATACTTACAAAAAATACAGTAGTCTTTTTTTTAGTCAAAGGTGGTTGAACTTAGGTAGCTATATCTCTCTACCTTTGAACATATTCCTTAAATGATTTAGTCACTTTTTTTTTTTCATATTTTATAAGGAAAGGCAATCAGAAGCTAGATCTTTTATATACTGATACTAACTGATGAAGTCATGGACTATTTTACTCCAAAAGTGAATGTAGATCCTATCTAATTGGACATACCATTTAGTAGTAGAGCCAGTAAGGTTATGAGCCGATAATGTTATCTTGAAATACGTGTATTAGTAGCATTTTATTATTAGCATAAGTAGCCATTTTTTGGCAGTATATGGTAATGTAGGTTATTGGACACTTTATACCATCATATTTTTTAAACTTTGATACTTTGAACTTCAAAGGAATAATGACATCTGCGACTAAACAGAAACCAACATTATTCATGGAACCATAAAAAATAATTCTTTTCACTACTCGTAACATTTTTTTCAGCATATTTATCTTCTTGTTAGCTATTGAGTTCCCTAAGACTTGATCACTTTTGTTTTTAATCTCTCTGTTTCTTCTAAACTATCTAGGTTGAAGACATGGATTAGTTCTTCTACCTTCTCAGTAATGACATGATTTACATAACTTTGATAAGACTCTGGATTTGAAGCCGATGGCATTTCGAAGTATATATACCCTACAGGATATATGAATTATTATGGTGGTACATCCTGTATGGACTGGGCTTGATACAACCCATAACTAGGAAGATAAAAAGGATCAATAATATTTTATAATGGATGATTTTGTAGGCTGATATCTTCTTCTATAGCTTTCCCTTTGTTTAACTTGTTTAGGGCTTTTAAAATTTTACTCAACTCCCTTTCAAGTTTTTCTTAGGCTTTTTTTATTTTTTCTAAACAATTTACATTTTTTTGTTCCATTTACCTGGCTTGAGCTCTGATGTTGTATTGATAATGAATGGATTGAACTAGGTTTTTAGATGGTGGAGCAATCTTTAAACCTTATACCACAATTATAATGCTCATGTTACTAAATGGGTATACGTAGAAGCTTTTTTACCTAATTTTTTAAGAATCCTATATGCATGCATAAATAAATGCATTGATTTTTGACACAACAAATTATGATACATAAACACATGATTGTATGCACAACAATGTATGAATGGATAAATGAATGCATGTAATGATATTTGTCATATTATGATGCATGAATGAATACATATGTTAGTGATGCTAGATTAAAGTACAATATCTTAGTGATGCTAGATTAAAATGCAACAAACAATATACAACAACTTACCAATAAATAAAAGATAAACTAAAGCTAAAAAAGTTCACTTATATGTCATAACTAGGGTTACATTCTAATGATGGGTAGACATGACTCTAACCTAAGGTTGGCTTTTTATGTTCTACTACATGTGGTTCAGGTTAAATCTAAAGGTTGCCAAATTATTTCTCACATCATTGTCCATCATAGGCTAATAAGGCATTTCCATTTTCATCCATTATAGGTTACAAGCAAAAATGGTTCAATTTGATTCAGAGTGTTTCACTAGCCCAAACGAAAATATTAAATCTCACAAAAGTGTAGGTACTTTACTCTTTCATAAGGGACGAAGCTCAGGTATAAAATTCATGTTATGCAGATGCAAGTGAATGACAGAGTATAGTATAATTAGAAACATATAAAACATTCAAAGAAAATTTCTTAATTTTAACTTAGGTTTTAGATAAAACAAGTTTACTAGCTTGACTCTCGGCATCCTCAGAGTTACCAAACTATCATAACGTATAGATCCGTAGAGCTATCATAATACCTGACTTTAGAAGTCGCTATCAATTTTTTTTGTCTAGGTGCTATTGGCTATCTAACTAAATCTATCTCATTTTAAAAAGAAGTCTCAACCTTGACTTAGGTATCTCTAAAAAGAATATTCATATCTACAAAATCAGAACAAGATTCGAGAGTAGGGTTATGTGTAAGGAAAGTTATAGCACCCTCATATTACCCACCTAAAGTATGGTATCAGCTTAATTTCATGTTATTTAAAAGCCTAAAAAAACTTACCAAGTAATTTAATATCTAAAATTATCTCTAAATTACTCTAATATGTTGATAATAATTCAAGAACATTCTCTCACTTTAGGAGTATTCAAAGAGACTATTTATCATACTTTGAAAAGACTCCATTATCGTATTCATTTAATTTTTGTAAAAAAATTTTTATTAATGATAATTGACATTTTTTTGACAATCTTGATATTAACAATCTTTTCTAAATTTTTCAATATGTTGATAAAATTTAGAAAGAATTTCTCACCTAGAAATTTACATAGAGATTGCTATTACAACGCTCTTAGTGATTCCATCATCGGAGATTTAAAATCCAACTTTGTTAAAAACTCTTTATTTCTATAAATATCTTCCAATATGTTGTAAGATTTTTTACTAAAACTTATTCTTTAATATGTTGGTAGGATTTTAAGAAAATTATTTCTTTTCTAAAAATTAATTTTTATATTTAAAAATCATAAATTTTTTCAATATATTAATAAAATCTTATCTTAAAAATTAAATTACCTTTTAATATGTTAGTAAGGTTTTATTGAAAACTATTTTTTTCTCTTAAAATTTGGTTTTTTTATAAAAAAAATAATAAGATTCTCTAATATGTTGGTAAAGCCTTATTTTAAAAATCAAATTACATTCCAATATATTAGTAAGGCTTTTATTTTATTAAAATAATTTATTAAAATTTTGAATCTTTTAATATGTGGGTAAGATTTTTTTATTTAAACATTTATTTTAAGAAAATTTGAACCCTACAATATGTTGGTAAAGTTCTTTTTATTTTATTTAAAAAATATTTTTCCTTTTTGCCTTTTTTTAAAAAATATTTACAAATAAACAAATACATAAATAATCAAATAAATAAAATAAACAAATAAATAAATAGAGAATTATGATAAAATATAAAAATAACTAGAACTTAAGAAAAAAAAATGAAAAGTAAATATCAAATATTGAGTCATAATTGATTCCAAAGCAAGTGAGCCTTTATAATTGTGTTTCTTCTCAACTTCTTTCTTTAATACAGAATTCTCAAAAGAAAATCTTAATTATTTAAACCCAAAACATCATAAAAAATTATAAAAAAACTCTTTATTTTTTTTTTTTTTTACTTTTTCTTTCTTGATTGTTGTGATTGATTTTTTATTGTCTTAATTGATCTTAATAGGATCTTTTTATAGGTTTCTAATCTTAATTACAATGAGAAAATGAGTTTTTTTTTGTTGGAATCTCCTAATTAACTTTAACCTTGGATTTTTAATCTAAATCTATCTCTCAAACCAATTTTTTTTTTTTTACAGTCTTGTTTTAATTAAAAAACTTTCAATTTAACAAATAAACCCTATTTAAGTTTCAGTAATACAAATTTTTCTTCTTTTTTTTTTAATAATAATAACTCTAAACTAAATACAATATCAAAAATAAATTTAAAAAATTTAAAACTTAATCTTAAAATATAAATTGATCCCAAAATGAGATATCTATATATATTTATATAAAAAACTGTATTTACAATCCCATAAAAAAAGAAAAAAGATTATTATATATAAAACTATATTTACAATCCCAAGAAAAAAAAAAAAGAAAAACAAGTATAGGTGGTCGTTTCAAAGTCACAAAATCCTAACCTATGGAAGCAATTTCAAACGTTTGTTTTCGTTCCTGAGCCTGTGATTCTCCGATTTGAGATGGGAAAGCTGCTCATCCTTGGCTTTAAGTTCACCTGTTATCCTTACAAAATCTTCATTCAGCATTTTGATGTGTTCATTCAGAACTTGATGTGAAAGATCCTTGAACTTTGATTTCCCTTTCACACGCCTTCTGTAGATTTGATGCTTACTCAATGGTTTTGACTGTTGCGGATTTTGCGAAGCATCAACAGCTGGTTCTGAGACTGATGAAATCCCTTGGTGTTGGTCAAGCCCAAGAGGCAGAGCCACTGGCCATACATACAAAAGGAAAATACTTCAATTCAAAATACTTCAATTCGTTTAAAAGAAAAAGAAAATTGTATAAAACAACTATTCTACTCGTCTTTAGGATTGAAAGAAAAGCAGAGTCTTGCATACCTGATTGTGCATTGCTTTGGCTTGCTAAAGAATGAGTTGGCAATAAGTTTCCACAGCCAGAAACACCAGTTCTAAAATGGAAGGACATAGCCAGTTCCTTTGAGAATGATGTATTAAGATCTGACAAAAAAACATTAAACACTAAAAACCTCAAACAATCCCCCAGAATTCTCAATAACAACACCTCTCAAAGTCGCTTGACAAAAACAGAATGATTAAATGGCAAATTGCACTATCTGTTGATGAGCACAATGGATAATATCTTGAGAGGATTGCCTTACGTAGTTTTGTAATCAGAACTGTAATAACTTACCTAATTAATTTCCCTAGGAGGTCAGGGTACAAGAATTATATACCTAATTGTTGGTGGGTGGTCAGAAGATCACTTGGCAGGGAACCAACATACTCTGTGGTTTGTAAATGCGAGAATGTAGCCAGCTGGAACATCATAGGATCTGAAAATCACATTAAAAGGAATAAACACTTGAAATCTGGCAAAGGTTCAAATCTTCCTAAAGTACCAAGAGAAAACCAAAAAAATAAAAATAAAAATCTAAATACTAACCTTGGGGAAGACTTGTAGCAAGCAGGGTATCTTGAAAATATTCGGAGAAAGTTTGGGGAGAAGGAGGTATGCTGATTCCTCCAACACATGGAGTATGTGGGCGAGGGGAAGGTGCCTTTTCTTCCCAAGCAAAAGGAAAACCCACTACAACACGAGGAATCAAAAGCTAGACAGAAAAAAAATTTATCTAACCAAGGTCCAAAACTTTTTTTTTTTGGTTGAAAAAACAAATTATTTTATATCCTACATAGTCAACGTAGGACACTCCAAAATCTCGTAGCCATAAACTTGTTATTAATTAATATATAATTAAATTAAAATACGTTAGGAGTTGATATTTAATAAACTTTGAATATAACTTTTTAATTTTATAATTAGGATTAAAGGATGCCATATGTTTTATTTTTTTAATTAGTTTTTTTATTTTTAATATATCTGAAAGATATATGTATATATATATATATATCATTCTATTATAGATTCTAAAAATTTTATTGACAAAATAATTTCTCGTTTCTTAAAAATTCTATATCTAACTAGTAATCAAGAGCCAAGCTAGAAATTTTTTGAGTTTAAAGAAAAAACAAATATAACAGAAAAAATAATAAAAAGTTAACGCTAAATTTAAATAAATGTACATTATAATTGAATAAAATGTATATATTTCTCTTGATAAACATTAACATATTTATCCTTTTTTGTTTCATAAAATCCATCATATTATCAGAGATTCCAAAAGCCAGGGGAGGTCCCTGACCTGCTAATAATGATACCTGAAGTTATATGTTCATGTGCGGAGCATTCCATGATCTTTTCTCAGACTTGAACCAGCAAGAGAAATTAAAAAGCTGCTCCTTCGAGATGTTGTACCTAGACACATACACACGTTATAAGCACGACAATAAGGAAAAAAAAAAAGATTGTCCTGAAGTTATATGTTCATATTATCAAAGACAAGACAGCAGAGAGAAAAAAAAAAAGGAGATAAAATTAAATCATGACTACAAGAAAACAGCCACGAAGATTTTGATAAGAGGGAAGGATTGGAAAGCCAAGCTTTGCAAGAAAGCAGCAAATTACAAGAAAATGGAAGGAGACTCCAAAAGCTGTATATCAAGGAAATCAACATGAGATGAATGCTTTAAATAAACATGGAAACCACAATGAAAATGACAATAAGTGACTTGTATAAGATAAAAACAAAATAAAAAGTGCCCATGACATAATATATATCTTTAGGCATGGCCATACATAATAAATGTCTTTGACATGGCCATATGTTAAGCTGTATATCATAGAAATCAACATGAGATGAATGCTTTAAATAAACATGGAAAGCAAAAGAGTCCACAATGAAAATGACGACAACTGACTTGTATAAGATAAAAACAAAATAAAAAAGTGCACATGACATAATATATAAATATATATATATATTTAGGCATGGTCATACATAATAAATATGTCTTAGACATGACCATACATAACATAAGTAAATATACCATAGCCAGTGAGATAGCGACAAAGGTAAATTAAAAATTAAAAAAATAAGTGCCCTAAATTTAAATCTAACACTTAATCACATTGTGTTGTGCTCGGCACTCAATGAATGCCGTCAGCTGACAAGGCATATATGTCTTTCATGTTCTCCTTCTTTGTTGATTTTTTTTTTCTGTTATATTGATTTTCTTTTGTTAATTTTCTATTTTTGATGCAGTGAACCATGAAAATCATTAGAATCAACTAACAAAAAATGATCCATAAGCAATATTATAAAGGAGTCAGCAAAGAATTACAAAAAATATATATTTTACATTTGCTTCAACCAATGATTCTCTGGACCTTCTCAATGATTCAATTGAACTTTTAGTTTTATAATTCTCTGATTCTAATTTGGCATGGTCTCCCTTTCTTTTTTGGTCAGAAGAGTACCTTTGGTCTTATATTTATGATATTATTATACCCAAACACTCTATCTGAATTAATTTATGCCTTTTGGTTGGTATTCCAGTATCCTTGATAAATGATTAAATTTATTCATCCAAAACGAAACAGATCAAGTCTATTTCTAAGAAAACAAAAAAAAAATCATTTAAGAGATTACAATAGTATTCTTGCATTTCTACCTATTTGTGTCCTTTGGTGACTCCCAAGCTTTCATTTTCAATATTTATTAATATACCTTAAAGATATATATCATTTTACTAATTTCCTTTATAAAATTTAAAAATTTTACTAATAGTATATGAAATAATTTCTCATTTGTTAAAAACTCTCTATCTAAGTAGTAACCAAGAGCGAAGCTAAAAGTTTTTTAGCCAATCAATATAACAATAAAAATAATAAAAAATTAACAAAAATAGTATGCTAAATTTAAATAATTATAAATCGTAATTGAATAAAATGTATATATTTCTCTTGATAAGCATTAATATATTTATCCTTTTTTGTTTCATAAAATCTATCATATTCTCAAAGATTCTAAAAGCCAGGGGAGGTCCCTGCCAGTGCCCTGGCTTCGCCCCTGCTTCTAATGATACCTGAAGTTATATCTTCAATGTGTCGAGCTTTCCATGATCTTTTTGTCACACTTGAACCAGCAAGGGAAATTAAGAAGCAGCTCCCTCGAGATGTTGTACCCAGACACATACACACGTTACAAGCACGACTACAAGAAGAAAGGAAAAAAGATTGTCCTGAAGCTATACGTTAATATTATCAAAGACAAGACAGTAGAGAGAAAAAAAAAAAAAAAAAGAGGAGAAAGATTAATTCGCGACTACAAGAAAACAGGCACAAAGATTTTGATAAGAGGGAAAGATTGGAAACCCAAGCTTGCAGGAGACCAGCAAATTATAAGCAAATGAAAGGAGACTCCAAAAGCTATACATCAGAAAAATTAGCATGAGATGAATGCTTTAAAAAATCATGGAAACCAAAAGGGTGCACAATGAAAATGACTTGCATAAGATTAGAGATAAAAAAAATCAATAAAATTCATGAAATAGTATTTAAATAGTATTTTTTATACTTACGAGAGGGGGTGAAAGACATGACTTGACACTCATTGAGTGCTCATAAAAAAACAAAGTGTAAGTGTAAGATTTTAAATTTAGGACTTTTTTTTAAAAAAATTTTTAATTCACCTCTGTCCTTGTCTCACTAGTTACAATATATTTACTTATGTTATGTATGGTCATGTTTAAACACATATCGATTATGTTATGTATGATCATGCCTAATGACATATAGATTATGTTATGGGCCATGTCTAAAGGCATACGGATTGAAATAGATTTTTATTTTTTTAAAAAAAAAAAAAAAAAAAGAAGAAAGAAAGTCATCAGGCCATATGCCATCATGTGGCATCATCATCATCATCATTAGTTTAATGCCATAAGTAAAAAGGGATGATATTTTTAAAATAAAACAAATTGATGACACTAAAAAATTTTAATCTTTGACTATCATTAGTTCTAGAGTAAACTTAAAATATAAATCCTGTGAATTTAGAGGGATTGAAAATGTACGGTTAACTACAAAATAACCAACTAAAATTTTTTTATAACACAACTTAGGAATTGATAGAGAAGCAATCGAATAGGTAACAAAAATTTGTTCAATCGAATTTTGAAATGATAATCCTCTTCCCTCAACAATCAATCATGAAAATTATTCAACTATGATGTAGACAAATTTCATTTAGTAATTCCAATCAAGATTTAAGATTAGGTTTTTGCAGAATTGGTCGAAGGCTTGTGATTGAAGGAAAATTTAAGCACAATTTGACAAAGATTTTGAAATATAGTGGGACAAGGTACGTATAGTTCTCAATTTAAATTTAATGAGATTTGTTGCAAAATTATTGCTAGGATTAACTGGTTTGGGATTGGGATTTTATGCAAAGGAACAAGTTATGTATTTTTCACTTCACCTTGAACCAAAAAGTATATTCATGAAATTTACCAATTATTTTTTATGCTTTGAAAATTATATTGTCCCGTAATTTTGAAATAATAGATGGTGAATGATATTAGACATTTTTATTGAGTTGCCAAGTAATTATAATGTTGAAATTCTATAAGATTAAAAAATAAGTTATTAAATAAAAAAATATTATGATAATGATACTAAAAAAATGAAAATTAAGATGTAAAATGGCAAGAGTAAAACAACAATAAAATTATTCTTAAATCATAGTAAGATGTTTAATATTATATTTAAATTTTAAAATTTTAAAATATAATATTTGAATTATTAAAATTTTAATTAATATCATAATTTCTCTTAATATAATTAATTTTAAATGATAATATATTACTTATAAATAATTTTTTAATATTTATTAATTAATAAATTTATAATATTATATTAAAAATTTTTAAAATTCAATTATTTGTAGTATTATTTCATTTCAAAATTTTCCACCTTATCCTCAATCCAAACGAGTTAAACCCTTTCAAAAACCCTGACAAAACCAGCGATGTTCTGTAGTTTCAACAATGGCTTTCTCTGCTAAAACTCTACAAACCCTTATCAAACCCGACCAACCAAACCCTCTCCACGCCAATATCCAATGCCTCAAATCCCTATATTTCTCAAACCAACGCAAAACCCACCAAATTTCCTCAACACAACCCCACCGACAACTCTCAGTCCTTAACACCAATTCCTTGAATACCCACAACTCAAATTCCCATCTCAACCTTCTTTGTCTCAACGGACATCTCCAACAAGCTCTAAGCTACTTAAACTCAATGCAAGAATTGCAGATTCCATTAGATGAAGACGCAGCTATTGCTATGGTGGGACTCTGTGAATGGAAGAGAGCTTTGGAAGAAGGGCATCAAGTTTACATTTTTATATCGAATTCGAGTAACCCTTTGACCCTTAGGCTTGGAAATGCTTTGTTAAGTATGTTTATGAGGTTTGGAAAATTGAGTGATGCTTGGTATGTGTTTGGTAAAATGCCGGAAAGAGATGTATTTTCTTGGAATGTTTTGATTAGCGGGTACGCGAAAAATGGGTTTTTCGACGAAGCTTTGTGTTTGTATCATAGGATGTTGTGGGTTGGTTTTAAGCCTGATATTTATACTTTCCCTTGTGTTTTGAGAACTTGTGGAGCTGTTCCAAATTTGGAAAGAGGTAAAGAGGTTCATGTTCATGTTATTAGGTTCGGTTTCGAGGCGGATGTTGACGTGGTTAATGCTTTGGTAACTATGTATGTAAAATGTAGGGATTTGCCAAGAGCGAGGTTATTGTTTGATAAAATGACTAGGAGAGATAGGATATCATGGAATGCGATCATTTCAGGGTATTTTGAGAATGGAGAGTGTTTGGAAGGGATAAGGTTGTTTTTTACGATGCGTGAGCATTGTTTTGATCCAGATTTGATGACTATGACGAGTGTGATCTCTGCCTGTGAGAGTCTTGGTGATGAGAGATTAGGCAGAGAAATTCATGGATATGTGATTGTAACAGGGATGTCGGATGATGTTTCGGTTTGTAATTCTTTGATTCAAATGTACTCAAGTTTTGGATGTTGGGAAACAGCGGAGAAAGTTTTTGACAGGATGGAATGGAGGGATGTAGTTTCGTGGACAGCAATGATCTCAGGTTATGAGAAGAATGTACTGCCTGATAAAGCTGTGGATACCTACAAAAGGATGGAGTTGCAGGGTTTCATGCCTGATGAGATCACTTTAGTCAGTGTTCTGTCTGCTTGTGCCCATTTGGGTAAGTTAGATATGGGGATTAAGCTTCATGAACTGGCCAAAAGGTCAGGGCTTATATCTTACATTATTGTTGCTAACACGTTAATTGATATGTATTCCAAGTGTAAATGTATTGACAAGGCTCTAGAAGTGTTCCACAACATTTCAGACAAGGATGTCATTTCTTGGACTGCTATCATTTTAGGGCTTCGACTTAACAACCGGTGCTTTGAAGCATTGATTTTCTTTCGACAAATGAAAGTGAGTTTAAAACCGAATTCTGTCACTTTGGTGTCTGTTCTATCTGCATGTGCTAGGATAGGAGGATTGATGTGTGGAAAAGAGATTCATGCATATGCATTGAGGACTGGCATGGGGCTTGATGGTTTCCTACCCAATGCACTTCTGGACATGTATGTAAGGTGTGGAAGGATGGGACCGGCAGGGAACCAATTTAACTCACAGAAAAAAGATGTTGCGGCATGGAATATTCTGCTGACAGGATATGCACAGCGGGGACAAGGGAAACTGGCTGTGGAGTTCTTCGATAAAATGATAGAATCTAATGTCAATCCCGATGAGATTACATTTATTCCACTCTTATGTGCTTGCAGTAAATCCGGAATGGTAACTGAAGGTTTGAAGTTTTTTAATAGCATGGAACTGAAATATGGCATCACCCCAAATTTGAAGCATTACGCATGTATGGTTGATTTGCTTGGCCGTACTGGGCAGTTGGAGGAGGCGTATGAGTTTATACAGGAAATGCCTATAAAGCCAGATTCGGCTATATGGGGAGCCTTGTTAAATGCATGTAGAATTCACCAGCAGGTTGACCTTGGTGAATTTGCAGCTCAGCGTATTTTTGAAAATGATACAAGAAGTGTTGGGTATTATGTTTTGTTATGTAATCTCTATGTGAACAGTGGTAGATGGGATGAAGTTGCAAAAGTTCGAAAGATGATGAAAGATAATGGGCTAATCATTGATCCTGGATGCAGTTGGGTGGAAGTTAAGGGAAAAATTCATGCTTTCCTCAGTGGAGATAATTTTCATCCTCAAATAAAGGAAATAAATGCAGTTTTAGAAGGAATTTATGAGAAAATGAAGGTAGGTGGCCTGGGTGGAAAATGTGATTCCATGGATGAAGTTGAAATTTCAAAAGCTGAGATTTTTTGTGGGCACAGTGAGAGACTAGCTGTTGCTTTTGGTCTCATTAATACTGTCCCTGGAACGCCTATTTGGGTAACAAAGAATCTCTATATGTGCCAAAGCTGTCACGGTACCATTAAATTCATCTCCAAGATTGTACGCCGGGAAATTTCTGTTAGGGATACTGAAGAATTCCACCATTTCAAGGATGGCATCTGTTCTTGTGGTGATGTGGAAATATTAGGGAAAGCTTGACAAATAAGATCTTTGAAAGAAATTGGGAAGTTATTAACTCCCATATAGAATGTAGATGCGTGAAAGGCGGCTTAAATGTTGCAACGTGAAAATGTATTTTTGGGCCATGCATCCAGCACCATTGATTAGCCTGTTAAAATTAAAACGTATTACCATATATCACAGAAGGACAGGGAAGCTTGGAAGAATGCTGTAGAATCATCTTGAATATTGATGCCCCATTGGCATGAAGAGAGAAAAAGCTTCCTTTCTGTTTGATTAGGAATGTATCCATAAACAAGGGAAACAGCGTCGGGGTTGATGGCATGGTGCTCACAGAAATGCTGTAGACTTCCTTTTTCTGAACTGTAACTTCCTAAGGTGTTGTCTGCTACTCTACTTTCCTCTGTACTGTTGTATTTTTCCTGTAAAGTCAAATGCGAGAAAAAGTTGCCTAAAAATTGAGGATGGTGTATTAAATCAAAAATCACAATAACATCATTTTGAAATACATCTATTTTGCTCATGATTTTAGGCGTCCTTTTTGTTTGAATGTTGAAGAAGCACAGATTAATGTGATGTATTTAGAGCTCCTCAGGGCTGCATACAGGGTTTTAACCATCTAACAAAGAGATACGTTATGACATTAACCCTAAATAAAAATGTCTGATCTAAATTCATATTTACAAGAATACCCAAAACACTGTTTATTCGATTTTGGAGCTATTAGCACTCACTTTGATAAAACAACGTATCTCTAATACCCAAAGTTATTCAGAGAACAGATTTAAAAAAAAAAAAGAAAACCACTGATACATTAAACAGATATTGACCAAACAGAATAGTATAACAAACAACTAGCTGTTATCTCACAACCGGACGACCAAATATACAAACATAAAGCTGAAAAGACATACATTCACTCAATTATTCAACTTAAGAGATACTTTTAACAATCTTAAAAATAATAAATAAATCACCTCAATGTTGAAGATTTTACAAAAGAGAAAGGCGTTGCTGGTATAAATCTTCATATTTTTACAGCCTTCTTTATTGTTTTGATGGATGACTTGAGGAAGTTGTTTCCCACAGCATAATCTTCTTCATCATCACTAGTTACTATTGGCTTCTTCCTCATGCACTCCACTCCTTTCTTCATACCACCCAAAATCAAAGATGGAGACGATGGGATACGTCGGAAGGCCCTGGCACTCTCAGACCTCATAAGATTTCTTTCCTTTCTGCTTCCAACAACTTCACAAGCTTTGCTCCTTGGTGTTTTACTGCCTTCTACTATCTCAACAATCTCATCATCCTTCTCCTGAACACTCTTCTGCTTCTCATGAATTTGCGTCATGACCTCTTTCTCTTTCTGTGGATACTTCAAATCTGGAGTTTTTATTATTTCATCAGTTCCAGTCACTTCTTCTGCATCTACATTTTGAGAGTCCAATTCTTCTTGAGTGTTCTCCAATAGCATTTGGAGCCACCTCTCTACATTCCCTTTCCCACGCTGCCTCCTTGTCTCTTCATCTTCCTCTCTTTCTGTTTCTTCAATAACAGGGAATTGAATTTCTCGTCTCTCCTCTTCTATTTCAAGTCTCTGAAACTTCTGCTCGATTGATTTTTCATCTTCTAAAGCAGCTATGGCTTTATCATGCTCCTCACGCTTTTCTTTGAAGGCATTTCTTGCTGTAATTGCCAGTTCCTCTTCAATTTCTTCATGCTTTTGATCATCATTTGAAGATAAACCAGCTACAGATGCTTTATGTTCCTCCTCCAGAAACACTCTCAGCTCCTTGTGTACAGGTGTCCTTGGTCTGATTCCTGGTAGATAAATAACAGTTTTGCTATCTTGTCCTTCAAAGAAAGTATCATCCGTTCTTGATCTCTTCCTTGCGTGTTCCCAATTAGGCCTTATCTGCTTTTCAAGTTCATCTCGTTGTTTAAATTTCTTATGAAGTTCCTTCTCCGAGGCATCACATATTGCCTTTTGTGCTTCAAGTCTTGCCATGAGTGCATTTGCTGCAGCCTGGTTTAGTCTCACCTGTTCCTTGTAAACAACACTCCTGCAAGAAGCAAAACAAGAATATATTGAATCTACAAATAGAAGACATAACTATTATTATATTAGGAGCAGGTGTTTGACAATCTTACTGGTGCATAGCATCCCGAATCATCTTTTCTAGCATAGTCCTGTATGAAGATTGTGCCTCTGCTAGCCGTCTGCACTTTTCTGCCCTTCTCCTACGCTTTATCAGCTCCACTTCCAAGTCTTGAATAGCATACTTTTCTTCATCATTTTTCCTCCTCATGTCATTCGCTTCTTCATCCAACTTCTGAATTTCTGCTTGCATCTTGTGTGATTCTTCTCTTTGTTTCAGTGAATCTCTGGCCATAACAATGGCCTGATATGGATTTGTAACAAAATCTGGATTTTCATTTTCCTTCAAAACGCTAGATTTCATTTTCCTTGCAGCTGAAAAGTTTAAAGAGAAAGCTTATTATGAGACAAATGATTGAGATGAATGCCCAAGTATATGAGCAACTAGAGTTTTTTCCCCCTTTTGTACTAACCAATAATAGGAGACTGTGACCTTATCTGCCTGTTGTAATCCAGTGATTTCAAAGCTGATGAAGTATCATATAGTTCCTTTCGAGTTACAACAACAGCAGCTGGAGCAAGACCAAATTTCTCTTTTGAATTCATAAAATGCTGTGGAAAAGAATGTGACTCCACTGTTTGTGAAGAATTTATCTCTTCATTCTCACCTTCTGCAAACAAGAAGGAAAATGCCCTTTGCCTGCCATATTTGTATAGCTTGTATTAATCATATAACACTATCAATTCTCCAATTATAAGATGCATTGAAATGTATAAATTTACAGAAATCCCAAACCTGAAATCAGACTTTCGAGATGCGAAAATTGATAAGAACTGATTCACAGAAATTCCCAACTGAAAATCCCACCATGGAACTTGAAATTCTAGCTTGTTATGTTTTTTCTTGCATACTTGCCACTGTAATATCCTCAGATTACTTGCAACGGTCAATCCACCCCCTAAAAAACAGCACCATAATTTTATGAAAACATAACCTAATAAAAATAAAACAATAGAGCTCTTGATGGTCATTCATTACTGTACTTGAGCAAGGAAACCAGTGATCAATATCCCAATAAAGCGGTGAAGCTGAATCAGCATGGTAGTACAGCACATTGCCATATGAATCGACACGAATTACTTCTGGATCAAAGCCGGCGTTCCTGAATTCAAGAGAAGTGATAGAAATCAGAAAACAAATCCCATGATTTTCCATTTCTCAACACATTTGTAAGTTTTCCAAGGGTCTTAAAGAGTAAAATTCAAGTAAATTACCCTAAATGACTGAGCTGCTTCCACAAGAGATTGATGAAGATTTTTGGCTTAGCTGTTGATCTTGCCTTCGGATCAATTATTGAGAACATTTGGTCCAGTTCCTTCGCTCTCAAGCTCTGCAAAATACAAATTAGTAATTAATCTCCAAAGCCTTATTTTCTTTCCCATTTCCTCAATTTTTATAAAAAAATCCAACATAAGAACAACATCACCCAAAACCCCAAAAACCATTTCCTCTCCATCTTTAAAGAACCCAAAAAACATAAGAAAATCAAAGAAAAATGGTAAAAATTACCTCATCACACTGCTGGAAAGCATAAGGCATGAAGGTAAAAGGAGGGCCATGATTGTAGGGACCAAGACTACGGTCCCGGCATATTTTCGCATAGGCTCTCGGGTATCCGAGACCCTCATCAATCACCATTTCCTCGTCGGCGAAGCCACAATCGATGGCCATATTTTTCAATGAGATTTTTGTTCCTTTCTTTGTGAAGATCGAAGAACCAAAGAGAAAATGTTCTGATTTTGGTTATAGAATAAGGAAAGAGCTAACGGTCGAATTCTGTGTAGGGAGAATTGGTAGATTTAAAATTTAAGGTGCCACGTTAGCAAAATTCGGTGGTGGAGTGTAACGACTACATTGTTGGATAAAAGCTGTCCCGGTCCCATGCAAAATTAATTTTTATATATTTTCTTTGACAAAAATACGTTTCATATTTTCTTATGGTTAGGATTTGGTCTTTGGACCGTTGCTTTGTCTCTATTGTGATAATTTTACTATCTTTTGAATATTTTTTATGTATTTAATATATAAAAATTAATTTATTTATTATTGAATGATTTTTTAAATTTTACAAGTAAAATTAATATAATGATATAAATTCTTTAAGAATATATTAAAAAATCAAAAAATAATTCAAAAAGAGAATTTTGTCAATTCCTTTACTTAATTTATAAAATTAAAAAATTATACTGATAATATATATATATATATATATATAACTCTTAATATTTTTACAACTTCTAATCTTTTTTAATTTTATTCCCAAAACTTTTTAAAAAAGTCAAATATAATCATGATATTTTACTATTATTGGGAAAAAAGTTGGGGGCCACAATGTTGCAATTATCTTTAGATTATTATCCATAATAAATTATAAAGACATTTTTTAAAATTTTGCTTTTCAACCAAAAAATATTTATTTGTAATTATTTGATTATAGCAATAAAAATTTTTATTTTGTGAAAATTAAAAATGGGGCTTTCTCAAAAGTTATATTCTTTTATGATCACACTGTATATATTTTAAATGTCTTTTTTTCTTATTATTAGTGACATTTTCACATTTAAAGGAGAGTTCAAGTATTGAAAAATAAAAAAATATTCGATTTTTTTGTTTGTGAATGCCCTTAAAAATTTTTATTTGGATATCCTTTCTATTTATAAAATTAATAAACTTGTTAATAATTATATATATATTATAAATGAATATATTTGAAAAATTTTTAAATCCACTGTTATTTATTATATTATTTATTACATTATATATTCATGAATTTTTATTTGGGTGCACGATTAATTACTAATTTTTCAATTTGGTAGTTAATATTAAATATTCAAGAAGTTTGTTTAATCTTCACATATTTCATTCTTTAAATTTCAGAAAAGGGTGAATTTTAAATCAGTAAAATATTAAGGGAACGTTATGATTCTCCCATTACTTTTGAATTTTATCCTTAGGTAACTTAGGGAATCATACTTTTTCTTTTTGAAGTTTAAATAGGGAATCATACTTAAATCATCAATCTTTTAGTTCAAATCAGTAAATTCATGTATCATAAAAAAAAAAAATCAAAGAATTAAAGTAATTATTATGCTTGCTTTGAATCTTGTCATATTTATGTCCCCCAAAAGAGAGTAAATTGGGATACTTTTTGACCTTGACCTCGTTGGGGATTTAGATAAGGGATGTGATGTGATACACTTATTATTCAATTTGAAACGAAAGTAGTAAGATTGGGTTCATCATTAGCGTTTGAACCAAAATTACCAAATATATAAAAAAGCTGATGAAAAGCCTCTTTTCAGCACAAAGTACACCACTAAAAAAAGCCATTTGATTACGTTGTTTCAAACTATTGGATTTATTAGATTGTAGTGGGCTAGGCTTATTTGGGTCTTGGGCTTAGGACCTAAATTATGAAGGACTCTCAAGATTGGCATCTGGAAAGTTGGGGATAAACATCAAGATTTACATTAGATTTCTAGATAATCACAAAAAAATTACTGATAATAAAATCAAATATAAACTGAAATATCTTATCCTTTCAAACTCAATCAGTCTGGTATAACACTGACCAGCACTGCTGAATCTCCATAAGCCCCAAGTGTCCGTAGCCATAGGTAAATTAGGACTTCATGAGCAACAACATATGCCGCAAAGAGGAGCATTCGGGCTTCAATACTTCACCTGGTGGTAACCTGTCACGATCTAATCCAAGCATCTCTTTCTCGTGGTTGATTCAATCATAAGTTCATGCGTCATAAGTGATTTTGGATTTCCAATCTTATTTGTTTGTGTTAATTTCAAATGCATTATTTATGTGGAGCAAATTTTACCTTGAACTTAAGAATTGAAAATCTATGTATCCCTTTTTTTTATCATCAAAAAGTAAGTTGCTGAAAGGATTGAGCCTGCAAAGACATTTTTTTATCTATAAAAAAGGCCGGAAAAGGCCAGCCAAAGCCCAACAGCACCCTTTACGGATCTGAAGAGCCAAAATTTTGTCCATCTTATGATCTGATCTAACTTCCCAAATCTCCCAACAGCCAGACGCATTCCGTCCCATCTCATTGCCAACTAGTTCAAGTGACTCCAATAATTTTATAATCCTAGATTTTCCCTGATCTTTGCACCTTCCACCCCATTTCCTCTCATATCATTGGTAAACAAATCAAATCTACGTCAGCATCAAAACATGCCAAATCAGCAGACACTTTCATAATCCAAAGGAAAAAAAAGGGACAAAATTATTTCCATTTTCCCACAATCCAAGCTCCCCGAAGTGCTATCCAATCATGGACCAGCAATCTTCTTCCTCCTCCTTTACCACCAGCACCAGCGCTACTCCTCTCCTCCCGCGCCACCGGTCATGGTGGTCTCATCATTTCCACATAAAAAACACGCTCTCCTCCGAATTATCAGGAGCAGTAGGAGACTTGGGCACTTTTATCCCAATAGTCCTAACCCTTACCTTGGTCTCCCATTTAGATCTGTCCACAACTCTCATCTTTACTGCTCTTTACAACATAATCACAGGCCTACTCTTCCACATCCCCATGCCTGTCCAACCCATGAAATCCATAGCTGCCGTCGCCGTCTCCGAAACCCCACATCTTACCACCTCGCAAATCGCGACTGCTGGTGCTTCCACTGCCGCCGTCCTCCTCCTCCTCGGGGCTACCGGTCTGATGTCGATTCTTTACCGTATCCTCCCTCTCCCTGTTGTCCGTGGGGTCCAGCTCTCTCAAGGCCTCTCCTTTGCCTTCTCAGCCATCAAGTATATCCGCTACAATCAGGATTTCGTAGCTTCTAAATCTACCACCCCACGGGCTTGGTTGGGCTTTGATGGTCTTGTTTTGGCCCTTTCAAGTCTTCTCTTTTTAGTAATCTTCACAGGTTCTGGTGATTATCACAACGGAAATGAATCTGATGACAACGAGCCTCGTCGCAGAAGCTCAAAGAGGTTGAGAATTATGGGTTCAATTCCAGCTGCTTTGATAGTGTTTTTATTTGGGTTAGTTTTATGCTTTATACGCGATCCTTCGATTTTTAATGATATTAAGTTTGGTCCATCAAAGATTGGATTTCTGAGTATTACCTGGGAAGATTGGAAAGTTGGGTTTCTGAAAGGAGCTGTGCCACAAATTCCATTGTCCATATTGAATTCAGTTATTGCAGTTTGCAAGCTGTCTGGTGATTTGTTTCCAGACAGGGAACTGTCTGCTGCTAAGGTTTCTGTGAGTGTTGGGGTTATGAATTTGGTGGGCTGTTGGTTTGGGGCAATGCCAGTTTGTCATGGTGCTGGTGGGTTAGCTGGTCAGTATAGGTTTGGGGCAAGGAGTGGATGGTCAGTGGTCTTTTTGGGGATTGGGAAGTTGGTGATTGGGATGGTGTTTGGAAACTCTTTTGTTAGGATTTTGAGTCAGTTTCCTATAGGGATTCTTGGAGTACTTTTATTGTTTGCTGGCATTGAGTTGGCTATGGCCTCTAGGGATATGAACTCAAAGGAGGAGTCTTTTGTTATGTTGGTTTGTGCTGCTGTTTCTTTGACTGGTTCTAGTGCTGCGTTGGGGTTTGTGTGTGGGATTTTGCTGTTTTTATTGCTGAAGCTAAGGAAAATGGAGTGTTCTGGTTCTTGTTTTAGCAAATTCAAGTTTGGCTCTGCCATTGATGATGAAACTAGTTTAATTCCTTAAAGCTGCACTTATATCAGCTAAATGCTCGATACTGGATAACGAGGCAATGTAGGATAAGTTGCACTCTAAAATGTAAGTACAATATTTATTGTTGATTTCTATGCTGATTAAATTATGATGGTATCTTTATCAGCAGATTTTATGTATTATTATACTACCAGAATCATATGATAGAAGATAATCCTCTTGGATATACCAAATTCTGGCTTAGCAGTTTGTACATGATTTTATCAGTGCATGTTGTGGAATGTATTCTTCCTATTCTGTTGCTACAGTAATTGGACTTGATGTATCTTGCTCCTTGGCAAACTAGTTATAATAAATCTCGTTCTTGTAAGAGCAAGTTTCTTAAAACTTGTATCTTAGGTGAAGTTTTGTCATTTTCATTATAGAAATCATAGTTAACAGGGTATTGCTTCTATGTTGTCAAATTTAAAGTTTAAATTCTTCAAAGACTATCTGGTTTCACATGGTGCCGGAAATTCAAAGGGTAAGAATTTTCTTTTCGGATGAATCTGTCTATTAGGAATTTCAAATGAGAAGAATGAATATTCTGCTACTAAAAGTGAAAGATGTTGGTAGAACTTTTTGTCATGGATCAGTTTAAGTTTTCTTTGGGATTCTTCTGCAGCATTAGAAATCAAACGTAAGTTGAATAAGATGGCAGAACTCTTCTTTTTGTGTGGCTAAGGAAGGATGGAGGTTCACATGGGGCTAGAGAAGGTTTTTTTTTTTTAAAGTCATTTAGAAACGAAGATTGGCTGTGAAGCAATGGAACATCTTTGTTGGCATGAAGAGAATCATCAAGATGAATAAGGTGGATTGGATGGTATTTGAGATCATTGGAGCTGAAAATTCATAAACTACATTCCTGCTTTATAGTAACCATTTTCATATGGGATGGACAGCAATTTTCTTATCTGAGCTCTTCATTAAATAGCTTGTCATACATATGCCTAAAAACATGTTCTGGAAGAAAATTTCTGACCTTCAAGCTGCCTGAAAAGTATGACTTTAGGTGGTTTTCAGGCAGCTTGAAGCTTGGAATGGAGCAAATTTCAGGCCTCAAGAACAGGAAGGCTGTGTTGGAAAGCCATTATCAAATCCTTTATTTGGTTATAAGTTACCTTATTGGTTTGCTCCTCTGCAGCACCATCGCTAACTGAATTTAGCTTACTTTTTATAATGCTTTTTTTGGTTAAAATTTTCTTTTCTATTTTCATTTTTATTTTTATTGTCTTGTCTACCAAGGCAACAATTGTCCCCCAAGTCAGTAATCCTGACTTCACGTCTACATCCTTCTATAAGAGGAGTAATCGATGATATCAATTTTCTTTTGATAAGCTGGGAAAATGGTGGGACTACTGATGTTATTGAGAAAGTCTTCTCTCCCTTCCCATAAGAACAACAATCCTGAAATGGCTGCTCCCTCCCTCCCTGTATAGACCCATTGGTAAAATTTTGTTAATAAGAATAAGCAAAACATTATCAATCCAGTTAAAAATCCCTGGGATGAAATATGCTGATAATAATGTTTTTTGTTGTTCAAAAAATTATCCATACTTTTAAGCGTAGGAAAGCTTTTGATAGGCTAACATGGGATTACTCTCCTTAATTTTCCGAATAAATTCACCATTAAACTCTCGGTCCTTCTCAAGGCTTCCAAAACTGACACCATTACCCCTACTAGAGGAAATAAGACAAGAGGACCCCTTTCCTATTTTTTTCATTTTCTGTCACGAGCTTAACGCTGAACATTGAAAGTCACTTAAAGTCTCTGAGATAAAGTCAATCGATTAACATGTTCTTAAACAAAATTAACAATCATCGAATATACATTGATAAAATTGGCATGCAAGATAAACAACTTTCAATGAACCCATAAAAAAAAAAAAAACCAAGAAGGATGCATTTGATTATTGTAATTTTCTTTTATTTATTTTTCAATTGATTAGTTATTTTTTTCTTTCTTTTTATAATCAAAATATTTTTAAAAAATTAAATATTTATCAACAATCTCATAATTTATTGATAAAATATTAAATTATTAATTTGCATGAAAATACTTAAATTCTACAATCACAAACATAAAAAAAAAAAATCAATTTAAAAAAAAAAATCCGGGGACGGATAATTTGCTTTCCTTTTATTCACTTAATTCTTGACTATTCGCGGCAGCATAACTTTATCTAAAATTAACTTAAAGTAAAAAAAAAAATAAAAAATGAAAAAGAAAAAGACAAGCCAACAAGCATTGACCTGTTACGCGACAACTACTTTCAAAGTCTTTCACTTTAAGCATTCTCCAAGATCCAAAGTTTCACTAAATCGAAGTTCCCAGAAATCTTTGCGAGAACTTAAACAGGCACACCCAAAATTTCAGGTTTGTTTTTCTTGTACTAAATTGCTTCATTGAATTTGCAAAAAGTACCTACTATGCCATAAGCTTGTATCTTGATGGTCTTCATTTAGATTAATAATTCTGTAGTGACTACGGTTTTACTAGTTTTTATGGGGAAGTAGCAAATCTGCAGTCTTTGTGATTTTTGTTTTGTGTTTTGAGAAATTGGTTTTGATTTTTAGTGGTTTTTAGGAAGTGGGTAGCTGAGAAATATTGAAAAAAGTGAGATTGGGAACCATGAAGAGTTTATATCTGGTTGTTGTTGTTGTTTGGGTAATGTATGAGATGTTTATCCTAGGGTTTGCAAATTATGTCCCAAAAGTGGAGTTTGAGTTTAAAAAGGAATCTTCGGCGGAAGTGGAGTACAAGTATGAAAGAATTGGTGAGGTAAAGAAACATTGTAAACCAGTTTTATCATCTGCTTCTGAATTCAAAGCTGAAGATAATAGGATAGCTGACATAAAAGAAGAGCTCAATTTCGGGTATGGGGATTGGTGGCAGGATGCAGGTGATGCTCCCATTATGCCATTTGATGATAGGGATGTCCCTAAGAACTTTTCAAAGGATCCTTCGAACATATCATCTTTCTGGATCACAGATGTTGATCACGCTCATCAGACTAAGAAGTGTGTAAGTGTCAGTGGGATTCTGATGTTGGGCATAACACTAGATACTTCATTTGCAGAGAGGCCGTATGAGGGCAGTCCTCGATTTCAGATATGGCCTAGTCATACTCAGCTTGCAATTTCATTTGAAGGGATTTACACTGAAACCAAACAGAATGGTGGGGAAAGAGTGCTGTGTTTGTTGGGGAATGCAATGTTGCCATCTCGGGAGTCTGACTCAAACAATCCATGGGAATGGTTGAAGGGCTCTGATCTAAATTACAACCAAGCACCTCTTTTGCAAGATGATCAGATATTGCTTGTTCTTCATTACCCATTGACACATAAATTGACTGATAGGGTGATACGAGGGGAGTTGAAAAGTTTAAATCCAAAATCAAATGCTAAGTACTTTGATCAAGTTCATGTTTTGGCCCAGATGCTCAAGTCGACAAAATATGAGTTTGGCTCTGAGAAGATTGTATCCAAGGCTTGTGATCCTTATCCATATCGAGATAACTTGATGAATTCTGGCATTGATGTCTACAAAGGAGATAGCTTCTGTGCCATTCTTGAGCAAGTTACTAATAGTGGAGCTTTCACTGTTGTGCCAAACTGGAAATGCAATGGCATGGATGATTACTGTAGCAAGCTGGGTCCTTTTGTGTCAGATAAAGAGATTAAAGCCACAAATGGCGCCTTCAAGGATGTCATACTTTACATGCAGGATGTAAGGTGCAAGACAATGAATGGGCATCGAAATGCTAGTGCGGCAAGAGTTGCTGCAGTTTTTTGGGCTGTTCCTGCATCAGAGGATCAGTATAGAGTGAGACAGAGATCTGGGCTTAGCAACATGACTCTAGCTGCTGAAGGAATCTGGAATTCTTCTAGTGGGCAGCTTTGCATGGTTGGTTGTCTTGGCATAGTAGATGTAGAAGGGAGTAGTTGTAACTCTCGTATCTGTTTGTATATTCCTGTCTCATTCTCAATAAAGCAGCGAAGCATAATTGTTGGGAGTATTTCAAGTATTGATAAAAGTAATAAGGAGTACTTTCCTTTATCATTTGAAAGGCTAGTTAGGCCCTCAGAGTTGTGGAATTACTTCAGAGTGTCACGTCCCTATTATAGTTACTCAAAAATCCAAGCAGCTGGTGCAATCCTAGAAAAAAATGAGCCTTTCAGTTTTGGAACTCTAGTTAAGAAATCCTTGCTGCAATTTCCTAAACTAGAAGACACAGATGACTTTTTATCCAGGTTTGATCTCCTTGCAGAAGATCTGACTCTTCAAATCTCTGCAGTTCCTGATCCATTTCCAAATTCTCATCCCCCAAGAGTTGATATTCAGATGGATATTTTCTCACTTGGTCCATTGTTTGGGCGCTATTGGTATTCAAGAAATATAAGCACCAGAGAAGAAGAGACACCTTACCACACTAAAGCTGAATACACCGAAAAACAGCTCCTTTTGAATGTATCAGCTCAACTAACAATTATCGGAAAAGATTATAGCAATTTTTCTGTTGTTTTTCTGGAGGGTCTTTATGATCCACATTTTGGTCGGATGTATCTTGTTGGCTGCAGGGATGTCCGAGCCTCATGGAAGATCTTATTTCAGAGCATGGATCTTGAGTCAGGGTTGGATTGCTTGACAGAAGTCATAGTGTCTTACCCGCCCACTACAGCTCGGTGGTTGGTCAACCCAACTGCAAGAATTTCCATAGCCAGCCAGAGAAATGAAGATGATCCACTATATTTTGGAATGGTTAAGCTTCAAACTCTTCCAATTATGTACAGGAAGCAGAGGGAAGATATTCTCTCTCGCCGGGGTGTTGAGGGAATCCTCCGTATTTTGACTCTTTCTTTAGCAATTGCTTGCATTTCAAGTCAACTGTTTTACCTCAAACAGAATGCTGATTCCTCTCCTTTTATTTCTCTTGTCATGCTGGGTGTCCAAGCCTTTGGGTATGGTCTTCCTCTAATTACTGGTGCCGAAGCTTTCTTCAAGAGAGAGGCTTCTGATTCTTATGAAATGCAATCTTATGATCTTGAGAAGAGTCAGTGGTTGAATTTGATTGATTACATGGTGAAGCTTCTTGTGCTGGTTATGTTCCTTCTGACTCTGAGGCTTTGTCAAAAGGTGTGGAAATCTCGGATCAGATTACTTTCACGAACCCCACTCGAATCACATCGTGTCCCAAGTGACAAGCGGGTACTTATTGCAACCCTTGTCGTACATGTCATTGGATACGTAGTTGTTCTGATCATTCATACTGTAAAAACTAGTCAGATACCACTTCGAACAGATAGGTTTATAGATTCAAGGGGTCAGACCAAAACGCTACGGGAATGGGAAATTGAACTAGGGGAGTATATTGGCCTTATTCAAGATTTCTTCTTGCTCCCTCAAGTCATTGGTAATTTTATCTGGCAAATCGATTGTAAACCTCTCAGGAAACTGTATTTTATTGGGATTACAGTGGTCAGACTTCTCCCTCATTTCTATGACTATATACGAGCCCCAGTTCCCAATCCTTACTTCGCAGAGGCGTATGAGTTTGTGAATCCAACTTTGGACTTCTACTCTAATATTGGGGATGTTGCCATTCCCATCACTGCAGTTTTCCTTGCAGCTGCTGTCTATTGTCAGCAAAGGTGGAATTATGAGCAGCTTAGCCAGATTCTTGGCTTCAGGCAATGTAGGCTTCTTCCTGCAGGATCAAGAGTTTATGAGAGGTTGCCTTCCCTGTCATTTGAAGCAGAGCTTGCCTCTGATGTTAATGGGAATACATCACGTAAGCTACAGCACGATGATGAAGAATAGTTCAATTCCTTCTCAGCATTACTGACAGAAGAGATGTTTGTAAAACATATGTGAAAGTAGGTGATATTTTCATGTTTGTTTTCCAAGTATAACACGATGGCCTCTAAAAACTGCAATTAAAAGCTTTGGTTTGTCCTGCATGTTTTCCCATAAATAGAGAACAAAAACAACTTCAGGTTGGTTTTATCTTAGTTTAATCTCACCATTCTTGCTGGATAAATTTTCCGTGGCTGAATGTTGCTCTGCTACTCTTATAAGGGTGTGTCCAAAAGAATGTAAAATCATGAAATCTCACGTTACTTGCATAAGAGGATAGAATTTCTGCCTCTGAAATTGTGTTTTACAACACTTAAATGCTATGATGTGAAACCCATTATGTCATTATCGTGGTCGTCTTCTGAATCCAATTGTTCAATTTTCGGAGCCTGTGAAGAACAAATTATATATATATATATATATATTATATATATATTATGTCACTCCAGATATCCAAACTTGTGACAGACTGCACCATATAGGAGCTATACTTTTACCGAGTTTAGAGCTATTATTAAATGAGAGGGGGAATCATGAATATGTGATGATCTCCATTTTTTTTTCAGTTATAGTAACTTGATCTCCGATGCAACGATTCCATCTTTCCTGGTTCTTTTATACCAAGGAAACTTGATCAGGCCAGAAGCAAATTAATGGAAAGAATAACACTTTACGCCTTTTTCATGGAAGAGAACGACCAAAACCGATACCTTAAACAATTCTATTGCATGAAGAAATTGGAGCTACAATTAGGCAACCCTACATCAGATCAAACCTCAATTGGCAGTGGCTGGCAAGACAACTCAATCTTACTCATGCTTGTTTTCCAGGCTTTTGGTTTTGTTGTGAGAAATGTATAATTATTTCATTAACTATATATATTTGCTGTATCTATTAACAAAAGGTGGGGCTTGAATTAGGTCAAGGATATGGTAGATTTGGATGGATTTTCATTACAAGTTCAAATTGGTTTCCAAATCATATATATTAGGGGTCTTTTCAGTAAGGAATACTATAGCGTGTAAACTCTGAACTTTAGAAATTCTGCTAATTTTAATTTAAATGCCTTTAATATAAAGAAGGCATGATAGACCATAACATGTGTGACCAAAAAATACAGATCCATGATGAAAAATAAATTCTAAAATAATAAAAAAGAAGAATTAAACTTGGGTTGTTTAGTATATATACAATTTGTTTGATATATAATTTCAAAAATAATATTGTAATTTTTTTGTAAAAAAATCTAAAAAATGTTAAAATCAAAACATTTTTTAAAAATTAATCAAATTAAATATGGATATTCAAGTTGAGAAGGAAGAAGTACTATATGATTGGATTTCAGTTCAATTAATTATTATTTTCGTCTATATATATATTTTAAAATACCTCATCAATTAAATTAAATTAACTAAACAAGCTAATCCATTTCTCAAAGTCTAAAATGAAGGCTTACCAAACTACTCAAAAACTAATATCCATATTGTCTCAATTTATTAGATATTGATTTCCATCCAAGCCATGTGAATAACGAGGCCAGCCGAATGAAATCGATGTATATGCATGAAGGCAAAGTCAATGGAAGCAATGAATGCTCAGCTTCGTTATGGTTTGGGGGAGCTTTCTTAAATCTTGACATTTGAGAACTCAGATTCTCGTTTTCATTGGATACTAGGACAGTCGGCTTCAGTTCGAGACTTGTATAAATTTTATTAAAAAAATACTCGAGTTTGATAGAATTTAATATAAAATGTAATTGTTCAATTTTATTAACAACTTTAACTAATTAGAAGCTCATAGTAAATATTAAAAGTTTTAAATAATTCATTCTCATTAAAAATTAAAAAAAAAAATCTAGTCTTGTCAAAATATTAAAATTGCTTACTTAAATTTGATAATTAGTGAACATTAATTAGGAAGTTTGATAGAAGTTAATATATAATGCAATGGTTAAATCTCATTTATAATTTTAATATATATGAAAAAATTTTAATTCTCATTAACAATCTTGAAAATTTATAAAAAAAAAATTATCGACTCTCCTCAAAATACTAAAATTATTAACTTAAAATTTCACAAATCCAACATATCCCAAAAACAATTGTTAAGGGAAAAAAACTTGGTAGTTAAATTAAATTTATAGGATAAATAGATGTCTGATTATAATTTGTTATACAAGTTTAATTAACGCCTAATTAATAACAGCTAGCAGATCCCACAAATTCCATGCCAAAGCTGTTAAAATGTTTGCCTGCCTAAGCCGCATTTATTTTTATTCGTATGGTTTTTAGATTACACAATGTTAAATCCATTCGTTTAGAAGTTATAATTTTTTTTTATTTATAATTCCCATTTTAGGAGATCATTGATTATAACTTAACAGTTTTAATGCATGTAGAAATCTTCTCAAGGAAATCTTTTCTGTAACATAGTTAGAATATTTTCTGATTTTATTTGCTCATATTATCATTATCATTATCATTAAAACTTTATTTTCGAAATGCTTCTTGACAAGAATCGACCGTAATTGATAAGAAAAGAAAATGTCACAACTAATCTTTACAACTTTCTTTTACCTTACTTATGATCATTTTGTTTTAGTTTTCACGTTATTATATAGTTTAATTATTATCTTGTGAAAAAAAAAAAACATATAATCTACTTTTAATGTATTGATTTTTTTTTAATTTGGAATTAAAATTTTTTGATAGAAATGGTTTTGTAATGAAAAATTATTAGTTCCAAACTTGCGTGGAGAAGTCGATGGAGTGCGAGTTCAATTTAATTTGCAAGATGGAGGCTGGGAACCGCTAGTAATTAAGAAGAAAGAAAAGTCAAATAAACGGATGCATGGTGGGCAGCAGAATTGGACAAAGTCCTAAGAAATGTCCGAAATTTTTGTGGAGAAAGTGCATGTTTTCTGGTTAATTAACAACCAATATTTTAGAGGCACACATGACCGATCACTTGCTCACATGAATAGCAAGACCGGTGGAAAAGTATTTAATGCACAAAGATTAAATTTAAAATAATTTAGAGTCCTAATAATTTTCTCAGAAAAACAAAGAAAATTAGTTAATTAAAAAATGGGAACAAATTTTTTTTAAATTTTTTTTTAATTTATCTTTATATCTTTTACTCTCTATATAACTAAAAATTATATTAAAAATATAAATTTTTTGAATTTGTAATTTTCAAAAAATAAATTTAAGTATTGAGAGTTCTAAGGAGGCGGGGACTGCCTAACTTATCCTAGCAACCAGTCTTCGGTCGATTGGGGCTGCGGACCGCAGTCGTGGTCTTTTTCGCAGCGTTGGGAAGAACCGAAGATGCATGAAATTCGGGATGCTGGAGTGAAGACTGAAAGAACTCAAACGTAAAATTGGTTGGATTAGGTCCAGTCCTTATAGCCAAACCTGCATTGGTCAAGGCCCAAGAGTACCGTGCATAAAATTTCCTTCTACTTCTAGGTTCGGTTGCCCATGCTTCAATATGTTTCTTCGTTTGGACTAAATTTCTAACTGCAAAATCAAATCATGTGGCCTATTTTTTTTCTTTTTTCTTCACCAAAACGTGTTGATGGATTAGGGAATTTATCTTTGATCAATTATTACGTGGTGTTGATCTTCATCTGTAGAAAAAAAAAGAGTTTTTTTCTTGATTTCAACTACAATTTAAAAAAAAGCAATAAAATGTAATATCTTAATCTCTTATTGAGTAATTATGTTGATATGATATGGTGTATATATATAAAAATTTAAATGTATATTTGTTAAGTGTATTTTATAATATAAAATTGTGATACTTTTTTTATTAAAACAAATAATATTTTATAAATTAAGTGTAAATTTTTTCTATTAATATTAGATCAATCATCAATTGAAAATGTGAAAACTAAGTATTACATCAGATCATTAATAAAATTCAAGTGAGTATTTGTAAAATATCATTCTGTAAAAATTATTTTTAAAATCTTAACACATGATGTGATTTTGATATTATTTAAATTTTACGAAGACGTCAAAATTTTAATTAAAGAGATTGTAATGTTTCAAATTTTATATGGATTTATATGTGCATGTAAAAACTTAAATTTATATTTGTGAAAATTTTTTTTTTGATAAAATTATAAAATTTTCAAATAAATTGGATAATACAGGTAAAGTATGAATATTCACAGAAATTATGAATTATTAAGGAAAAAATTCTTATCACATAATATATAATTATGGCATTAAGAAAGAAAATTATAAAGAAAAGAAACTGGATTCTGTCCAAACTCCAAAATATTTGGTTCATGTTTGTTTTTTCTTCTAGAAGAGTCTTAATATATTGAAAGAAGGTAATTTATAAGAAAAAAAAAAAAATACCATTTGTGGTGTAATTTTAATTATTGCATTCAATTGTTAACCTTTTTCTAAAAGAAGAATTTATTATGGCATTTATCACGTGGTTCAAAACAATTTTTCACTTAAAAAATTGAAAATTTAAAATTTGATCAGAATTTGCAAATATTTTCACTATTTATCCTTACTGAAATGGAGACGAGTATTTTGCTTAACAACAAAGGCATTTTCTTTTTTAAAAAAATGCATGTCTTTTTTTTTTTAATATTGGATTGGAATCTCAAATTTTTTGAAAAAATTATAATATTTACTGATAATTGAATTTATCAAAATTGGAAAGGTGACAAGACCTGATATTTTCCAAGTATAATAAAATTAAAAAATATTAAAAATAAAATGTGAGATAATATTTTAATTCATTTATAAAATTAAAAACATTTTATTGATATATAAAAAAGAACTCTTTTCTCATATAAAAAGAAAAAAAAATTATGACTAGAATTGCGGAAGATGCCCCTAATTTTAAGGTACAGTTGTGTTTCTAGAAGCAAAATGCAGACTTAATTAAGATTTCCAATGACTATTATTTAACTAGTCGTGTTCAATTTTCGATTGGTGGTATTTCTAGAAGGCAAAGATGAGTCAAGTCAATGTCGGAAAATTCACCACTGTTTTCCATATTGTTTTTATTACAGGACATCACCCATTGGTCACGAACCACATTACTTGTTCTCCAAAACTCCGAAGATGACGTCATTGGTGATGTTTCATAGGAAGTTTATGATGTCTTAATTTTATTATTATTATTATTAGTA